GGCGAGCCCCTCCCTCGACCGGCTGGCGATGCAGTGCTTGATGCACCCCAGGACATGGTTGGTCCTCTTGGCTGCCAGATGTGCTGGAGCGTGTCCAAAGAAGGGCAACAAAGTTGGTGAAGGGTCTAGAGCACAAGTCTTATGAGAGGCTGAGGGAGCTGGGGGGGCTCAGCCTGGAGAAGAGGAGGCTGAGGGGAGCCCTCATCTCTCTCTGCAGCTGCCTGAAAGGAGGCTGGAGCTGGGGGGGTCGGTCTCTTCTCCCCAGGAACAAGCGATGGGACGAGAGGGAACGGCCTCAAGCTGCGCCAGGGCAGGTTTGGGTTGGGTATTAGGGAAAGTTCCTTCCCCGAAAGGGCTGTCAGGCCCTGGCCCAGGCTGCCCAGGGCAGGGGCTGAGTCCCCACCCCTGGAGGGATTGAAAAGCCGGGGAGATGTGGTGCTTGGGGACATAGTTTAGTGGTGGCCTTGGCAGTGACAGGTTAACGGTTGGACTCGATAACCTTCAGGGTCTTTTCCAACCTTAACGATTCTATGATTCTATGTCTCCTCTGTAGCCCTGTGAGATTCAGGTTCCAGCGTTGCAGCACGGGCACCTTGGCAGGAAGCAGAGCTTGGTCGTTTTAGCGTGTTCTTCACAGCATCACCCTCGTGGTGATGAGTCACACCTCTGCTCAGGGTGATCTGTGCAAATTCGTGGTGTGCTCTGCTGCAAGCCGCTCGGTTTGAGTCTCTGGTAACGGGAGCGCAGTCCTGCTGTATCCCGGGATTTGTCCCATATGATGGAAGACAGTAGATGTACCAATGCCACTGTCCCAAACGTTTGGATGCTGTGCACATGGCCACGCTTTATTTTCCACGAACTTGCCAGAGCACAACTTGTATCCGTCAGCGCATCCCACGCTGAAAGAAATGCATGGCTTGTTCCAGGAGATGCACAAGGCCAAATCATAATTGTGCAGAAACTTTGCCACTGGTTTCCATTGGATCCGGGTTTGGCGTTTTTTGGGTGCTCCAGATGTTTGCAGTTTGTTTAAAGATACAGGCACGGACTCACTCGATATCTGTGTCATCCCAGAGTGAAGAGGTCATCTCAGAGCTAAAACCAGGGGGAAAAAGGCAGTGGGGTTGCACCGTGTCCGCAGTGCCTCGCAGGAGCGGGGCCCTGCCTTTACCCTTGGTTATCCTTCATGACCCCCAGGACGGAAAGCGGCTCCGTTCCTGGGGTCCCCCCGGGGCAGCGCAGCCGCCTTCAGGTTCAGGGGCTGCGGCCTCTCCCGCTCCACGGGGAAACCTGCCAGGGGAACGGAGCAGAGCACCGCCACTTCACAGCGGGCAGCTGGGAAATGCCCAGCATTAATAAGGACAGGACTCCTGCTGCATCGCAGCACCTGCTATGTGTTATCATTGGCTATTATGGGATGGATAGCGGCTGTGCTTTAGCATTTGGAATGGAAATCTGACCCCCAAATGTGCTGACCGCTCAAAATGGCTAGCTCCAGGCTGGATGGCTCCCTGGCCCCGGGACGCAGGAGCAGTGCCACCTCGTGGCTAGCACAGGCCCAGGGGACTGTCCCCAGGGCCAGCCACCGCGTCTCTGCCACCTCGCAGGCGGCAGGGACAGGCAGCAGCCTGCCTCAGCACAGCCCATGCCAGTTGGCGGTGCCCCGTCCCTTTGAACGAACTTTTTTAATAGTTTGACACTCCAGATCTTGGAGTTCTGAGGTCCTGTCTGAGAGTTCAAGAGCACTGAGGTCCCATCTGCTCCACGGGCAGGGAGCCAGAAGCAACCCACCCTTGTCTCCTCGGTCGTTACAGCCCTGTTTCTTGCCCGTCTGCTTTGCTTTGCAGAGTTTGAGATCTGGTACAGCGAGTCCTTCCTTATCCCCAAGGATGTGCAGGAAGCTCTGAAGCCCGGTGGCAACATCAGACCTGGAATGATTCCCATAAACAGAGTCATGTGCCTGGTAAGTTATTCTCCTTGATAGCCACGCGCGGCATGGCAATGAGGGCACAACTAAGCCCGTGGGAGGAGGAGGGCATGGCAGCTCTGCCCCTTTCTCTACGCAGAGTGGCTGGCATTGAAATGCTATCTGCTATGATGCAGAGAGCAACTATCTGGAGATACATCTTGCCTTCACGGTAGCTTTACCATTAATAGGACAGAGTGATTGAAGCACCCAGTCATCTGCTGACTATCAGTAATCGGGCAAACTGCCCGGAGGTGCGAGGGGTAGCGGGGAGGCTCGTTTCCAGTCTGTACGATCTGTAACGTTTACAGCTAAACTATTGCGTTTCGTGTTGTGGCAACTGGTGCTCAGCCAGCCCTCTGGTCAGAAACCACCATTTTGGGGTAGCTGGCGTCTTTTGTCGTTCCTGACAAAGCACGTTTCTCTGCAGCTTCTCATTTACCAGACTTCTTTGCATTATTCTCCTCTGGAGTCATTCCAGGTTTTGTCCTTCACTGTTAAATGTCAAACTCAAAACCTTCACGCTGGAACGCGGTGGCAGTGCTTCCGCTCTGGCCGACACCGCGAAGCGATGCACAGCAAGGAGGGAGATCCCACCCTGGCTGCAAGGGGCAATCAGCCCTTTCTTTGTAGGTGCAACATCGCCATTATTGCTGCTTAACCTCTGCAGATGGCAGAGAACGGCTTGCGGGGCCAGGTCCTAGGTCCGTCTCTCCCAGGAGCCCGTCCCTACCAGAAGCAGGGGGGACCCGCAGGTCTTTGGGAAAGAGAACAAGCAGGGGGTGAGCTGCGTGACCCCCTTCCTACGTGCACAGCCCCATTTCTAGCCAGCGTGTAGTGGGGGACAGGATAGCTTTAGCTCTTTAGAAGGAAAAGAGAAAAGCAACTCTTCTGTCTGCAGGTGTCTGATGATTTTGACTGTAAATCTCAGCGAAGCATTTTCTTTACTCCCTCCTGGAAAGGCATGTGAAGGGTTTTAAGGCTGATCAGAGACCTTCCCATCCTACTGAATTAGTTCCCTTGAGGGTATGAATAACAAACATGATGTGAGGGAAAAAAAAAAATGTAGTGAATTTACTTTTAAAGAGAATGTTGTGATCTACCAGACTGTGGAAGATTTTCAATCCAGACCTGTATGGGAAAGAGCAAAAAAAACCAACCCAAACCCCTTTGGATAAAGCAACGTACCTAACGAGGTCAACAGGAAAACCCTGACCGCCTGCCCGGGTCCGGGATGTCACTCCTTGGGGAAAAGAGGAAATCCATCACTAGTCACTTGTACTAACCCAAGTTACTCAATGTATTCATAGAAACTCCCTTAATGGTTTCCAGCCCTGGATTTCTTGTCATCACATCAATTATAACCCCAGAGGTGAAGGAAGCATGCCTTGTAGCAATGCTTCACAGCTGTGCCAAGTTGTTGATGTTACAGGCAGAACTCTTCAGGCGGAAGATAAACAGTGTCCCTGGTAATGTTGCCCAGTGCTGGTTTCTTCTTCTTCCTTTCACTGGGCAGTTCACTGCAGCTTCCCAGTCAGTGTCACTGGCCATGCTGGGGCCCATACTGGGCCTGGGAGGGAGCCACTTCATTTTTCTCTGGAGGTTTGTTTCCTACTTAGAGCCATTTTCTCGTTTCCAGGCTGGCTCTTCATTAACCATTCTAACCCGTTTCTGCTGGGTGTGCATCTTGTCCTCTTGGCTTGATTCGGTTTGGCCACCTGCCTTTTATCACACCAGAATTTCACTGTCACCTTCTCCAGGCTACTCATGAACCGCCACAGAAGGTGACCCAAGAATCTGCTAGAGCCGTCCTCAAATCTGGCATGAAAACACGATACACAAGCTGATACCTTAAAAAACCATACTTCCATTCAACCCATGTTCCTCTTTAGCGTCCTCACGCCTTCCAGACGGTTCCCTGGAGAAGTGTGGGCATGGACATCAGCTAGCTGGGCTCGGGGGGGACCACGCTGAAGCTCAGACCTCCTTCAAGCTGTGACGTTATCTTGCAGTGGAAGGGAGACGGTCCTGTGGGTAGTTGTGGGCAGAGCGTGGCCATGAGAAGACCGCTGAGGGAACTCCCTTTGGGGCTTTACGCTTGCAGATGGATTCTGCCCAAAGTCCTGCCCAAATCTGCTCACCTGAGGCGTGGGAAGGGGGGACCTCTCACTTCCGAGGCTTTGGAGAGATTGTTGAATCAGCGTTCAATGCGGCAAACGGGATGGGTTGACCTCTGTGTCTCCAGATGTGTGTTTTTCACATGGAGTGGGGTCTGTCTTTCTGCTGCCAGGAGGAAGATGAACAGGAGAGGTTTGAGCGGATGCAGGAGACCATGCTGCCGGCCTGCCCAGCTTCAGTCTCCTTCTACAAGGCGAAAATGAAGACTGATCAAAAGGTAACCTCAGCTGGGCCCAGCTCCACCTACCCCTGCCGATGCACGGTGGGAGAGCGGTCCTGCGCCTCGCTGCCAGGCGGGGTGTAGGGCTCTTCTGGAACGGACGCCGTTTCGGCCGTAGCCTTTTGAAAGATGCTGGTTTGGTTCCCTAGCACAGCTCTGCTCTTTGACCTGTTCTTGGGCTCTGGCTGATGTCAAGGCCCCATCCCGTGCTGGTCTTCTGCTAAAAACTGATCTCAGCACTTCTCGCTTTTAGTTTCTTCCTGGCAAGGGCTCACCATGACACCACCGAGGCCCTGAGCTTGGCAGAGCTTCAAAAGATGGGGTGTTTATGAGAGTAACGGGGCTGCACAACGCTATCAGTAAGTGTTTTTAAGGAAAACATCTCAAAACCAGCTCTTCAGCGCTCAGGAGAATTTCCCAGGGCTTCTTGTGCCCTGCTTTGAGCCTGCTGGGATCCGCCACCGGTGGAGCAATGCTGGTGTGATGGGGGTTACTTGGGCAGCTTTTTCCAGCACCACTTGGGAAGGCATTTGGGTTTTTTTTCAGGAAAAATGCTTTTACAGGTGAGGATTCTGCTCTGAAAACTGAGCTCAGGTTAATGATCCTTTTTTGTTTTCTGTCGCCAGCACACGTACACCAGAACCATGTCGTCCCTCGAGCAAATGCGCAAGAAACCCGGGCTCATCACGGCTGCTGGGAAGAATAAACCCCTCTCGTTTCTGCATGTCATGTAGCAGATTGGGGCTCAGCCTGGAACCCAGCGTTCAATAAGCAACGTCACCTCAAAGTGCCTTGCGTTCATGTCCACAATAGATTTATCAAAAATAAACAATAGGGAAAAAAAAACCCCAGCCACCAACTTCTGTGCCGCTAGACCGGCGGGTGTTGGGAATCAAACCCGCCGTTTTGACGGGGAGGAAAC